TCAAATGGATTTAGAACTATAAAACAGCACTGATGATGATCCGGGGATGAAAATGTAGGTACCACGCCATATCTTCTAAGTTAACCTTTTGAATGTCTGCAAAGGTATCAGTACATTTATATTGGATAATTTTGAAATGTCATGCTCACAAACCGAAATTAAGTCATTTTAGTTCAAGTAATGCTAATTTACGCCACTCCTGAGCGGCCTCTTCACAAATATAAACCGTCGTTATTGTAACAATAGTTGTTGCGAAGTCGTGAATAACTAAACTGAATTGCATTTTACTTTTCGTATGACAATAAGTATAAGCACACATTGACCCTTAAAAGCTTATTCAGATTTACATATCTAATTTCAGGCTTCTCGGTCCTAGCAAACATTGGCACGGTGAAAGTTCGCTGCAACGAATGAAATTTCTTCGTATCAACAGGATTAAAAAATTCCGTAACCGGGGCCTATATTTATTAAACCATTCTCATGCCCAAGCATGGATTCTGTTCTCCACCCAACTTCTTTTGTGCCGCATAAAAATTATGTCAAACGATCAAAACGCCAAACATTGAAAACAGTATTTGGTTTTATGTCTCTTCAAATTTTTTCCCCCCAAATCATTGACCAACTAACATTTGTTTTTATCAATTTAAAACTGGAGCAAGAAATAAAGTTTGAGCACAAAAACCATACTTGAGCATTGGAACGGTTTCATGAATACGGGCCTTGGTCTTAATATAGATTCCTGATCATGTCATGGAAATGGGGGGGAAATGGGATCGAAATCTAACCCTTGACCTAATGAGGATTCCCCGTCATTTCGGAATTAGAGGAAACGGGAAAGTAGTAAGGTCTGCTAAATTGCCTAAGCATATTCTCAAATTGAATCGCAAACACTATTGATCTGAAGAAACTAATATTAAGATGTTTTGTATGCAACCCAATGTGTCTGTACAGCCAACAGAGCACAAACCCTTACGTTTTTCTGTGTAAAGATCAACCTTGTTATCATAATTAGGATCAACCTTTTACTGTCATACATTTCATGATTAAATTAGCAGACATTCAACAATGCAAAGTACCATCTATTAAATGTTTGTTTGATACAATTTTTGTACAACAGATAGATGTTCGTTTATTAACATTCATATTATCGTTACAGTAAGAGATAGGTTATGCTTGTTTGCCGCTACTTGTACATGTAATACATTTTTGATTTTATTAATGATTTAATGTTTGGTTTCATGTTTCCTGGTTTTGTGGACATCACGTTTTGTTTTATTATTTCTACTCCAATCACTTATATTATTGATACTCAGAAAAGCAATTCAGCAAGGAAACAAACCATAAGAGGCCACTGTCGAAAGACATACCAATTTTCATTTCTTATTTTGGAAATAGGTATTCATAAGTATGATGTATGTACCTTCTCAATTTGTATTTACTGTTCGATTGATGCAGTTGCCTTTCATTGTGTTCATCCATAGGTCTCATTGTTTCGCAACGTTTGACCTTTAAAGGTTGATGGATCATTAAGATCGCATCATTATATCAAGGTATCTATCTATGTGATAGGTAAAGTCTAAACTAACGCACGGGAAAACCAAAATAGTCGTAACGCATGTAATCGTTGCGAAATATCAAAGCAACATGTAGACATAAGTTTCCAATTACCCTTACAGTAGGGAAGTGATATGTACCTCCTAGTCTCGTCTATCCAAAGTGAATCATGTCGTGCAACAAAAAACTAAATGCCAAACAAAAGATATACATGTAGCTGTATCTTTCGACAGTTTCAGAGATATGCTTAATCACTAGTGGTATAATTCAATTATAACTGTGTGATTATTATTCACTGTCTTGTTTCCTTGTGTTATGTATTTGATTAATGCTTACGTGTTGACAAAGGGCTGATCGCTTAGGAAATTTGACATTTGACATTGTCCGCAAGGGTGTGATAACATCTATACGTTCATATTGATTTAGAAATTACGCATCCAACAAGTTCGTAACAAGTACATGTATTGAACCTTATTGATGTTCTTACTCATAAATGCTAAAATATCTAAACTTTGTAAAAACTCGTTACTAAATAGCAAACGAATCAAACTGAACCAACTACAAAGTACCTTGTATGTGTGAATACATTATCCTTACATTTTAATCATGCACAATAATAATTCAAGTCCTTACTTGAATTTTCAAAACGGTTTTAAATTCACTCTACATGAACAGAAATAAACTGTATATCTAAATATCATTTTCACTATTCTTTAAGATAAATGTTTTGATTGTCATATATTGTATTAGTCAAACTGGACCATGGGGCCTTGCCTCAGTAGTTATATAATTTAAATTCTTCTAATTTCAATAATGACAGTATAGACTGATTGTTGCATGTGTACTGATGCCATGCACAGAAGTGATTCCCTGTTTTTTTTTTTACTGTTTGTAACGCCATCGACACATACTTTATGTGTATGTCTACTATGCCGCCATTGTATGGTCTCTCATTATTGTGTTATATATCTGTTCCTTTGCTTCAAATAAACTGTCTCACAAAGAACCTTTACAGACGCAAAAGGCCTGTCGAAGATGCCACATTTTTATGCCATAAGATATCTTGATAAAATTATTAAGTATTTCGCATTTATTTTCGGTGTCACAGAGGATTGTTCAAGTACCGCTTAATTCTGCACAACGTTACATACAAACAACAATGTACAACTCGCCTGTTCGACCTTTTGTCTAATAAGACTTTATGATGGAAATACCAATAATACTGAATTTAAAAGTTCTTTGTGATATGCCATGTTTTTGTAGTACATGCAAAATGTTTGTATAACTTTTCGCGTTTTGATTAACTTTATGCATCTAAAGTATTTCTTAATTGTTCGATTACTTTTCGTTCTAATCGTTGATATACCAAGACCGTCAATATACACACATGGAGGCTGAGATCCAAAAATAGCAAGCGGATCTGTAAGCGATATCAGAAAATAAAAGATGTCCAATTAAATGGTAGCGCGCCAATCAAATCCGATTATGACGTTCTATTCTTACCAGAATTACCATTAATGTAATCAGTCATGGCTGCAGGCGCGTGCATCAAAAAGAGAACACAATGTATAGTTAGCTTTTATATAATGATCGTGACCTTGAGTGAGGAGAGAATGTCAGTAGGGTGACTATCAGGTGTGTTCTACAAGTGTGCATTTGTATGTATGATACGGTTTTATCTTCTGTCATGTGGCTAATGGACGAACATTTAACTTTCGTCTATTCATTTCACGAAATAATTTGGTAATTGTCTCACTCCACTCAATCATGGCAAGCCAAAAATAATATATACAATATAATTCATTTATCATTGAAAATATACTGAAAATACTGTGAATTTCAATATTAGGGCGCTTTATTGAAATATGAAGAGACAAAATAGTGTCACAAGATTTGGTGTTATCAGCTATTTTATCACACATGTATGTTAAAAAGGGTGTAGTGATACTGTCAAAATATTGCATTGTACCAGAAGTACGAGGGTGTCAACGCCTTCATAGTGTTGCGTCCGGAATAAATTCACGATGTCCTTCTTTTTCTTTCTTTTTTTCCTAGCAGTTTTCACACTGGTAAATAGCTTGTGTGAGTTAAGAATATGCGAATAAGTTCAACAGCGTTACAGCAAGAATTAATCAATCACGAGATACATGACCGCTAGACAGATACACACGTTTGCTAAAGTTTAAAGAAGGTCGTTGAAACATTACATGTATGTGAATAATGCGAGGAATGCAATGGTCGGGATAAGACTTTCTAAAACAAAACTGGACTTCATTTAATCGGAAAGTATGCTTGAAATAATTTGACAGATCAAATCGTTTATAGGTTCTATTTTTGAAATGCTATCCTTTAAATAGAACTTCTGAAATAAATAAGTATATATATGGTTTCATTACTGATTACAAATTCCAATTATGGGTAAGTGGCGTAAATCAGATATGTAATGTGGGCTCCTGGAACAATAAGGAAGCTATTCGGCCGAATAACTTCGATTTTGTCTGAATTAGTGTGGCTTCGCTAAATTCAATATTGACGCGCAAATGGATTCTGTCTGGTACCTCTGGTACACCGTTACTAATGTGTGTCATATAGAAAACGCATATTTGCAATGGAACAAAGAGATCTTAAGGAATGCCTTGTAAGGGAAAGTCTCCTACGTGATGAGATGCGTTGGTGAAGGCGCCCATACCTGCGGCAATATATATCTGGTGCTAGATTCAGGGATCATGAAGCAGTCGTAGAAATCAGTCAAAACATGATAAAATTATGTTTATACAACACACAGTGCCATATGACAATGAACAACCTCATTCCGATGTAATCATTAAGGTAAAGACACACAAATTAGGTAATTTAACCTTCGTTTTATTTCATTCTTTGAAATTCACAGAATGACAAATATTTCTTATGATCAAATATCGATGGGCGTTCTAACTAACGGAATTATCATGCGGGGCTTACGTGAGTTATTTACAGAACACTAATTAGCACTTATGTTTTTTACAATACCAGTAGCTAAAACGAATCCCGGCATGCATGTTGCAAGAACTTGCGTTGCAAGTTAGCAAATCTTTGCTAGTATCCCACCATAAAATCCTTGAAAATCGAATTGATACAATTGTTTATATATCACGGGTAAGTTTTTATTTGCTTCAAAAGAAGGCATAGTTCTACTACGTGGTATGTTGGAAATACCGTTAACAGTTGTGTATTTCTGAGTATATTTGTCATATGCTGCTATTTGAAAATCAACTATCCGTGACAAAAGAAACTGATGCGTGGATATGTCATCCAGGCTAAATCATTATAAACCATGAACTGTTGAAACATTTAAAGATTTGAAGGTACATGTATATTTGAAGAGTTATCCGTGTTTGGTATTGATCTGCTGTATGTCCTAACCTCCTCTAGATTGCTTACATAGTAATTTCGTATTCTCTTTTCAGATTCAAATCTACACTTAGGTATGATTAAGGACAGGAACGGAAGAACTGACGGAACTGCAATGAAACCGGAAACACTAGAAGTGATGACGTATCAGTGCACGTCGACGATGGGGTTTGCAGATATGCGCACCATGAACCAAAGCCACCTGCAACTAATTGTGAAAGAATTTCGCGATGCGGATCGCTGGTTTGACGTAACAACAGAGACTTACTTGATCGTAGCCTATACTATTGTGATAGTAGCGGGAATTCTTGGAAATTCGCTTGTATGTCAAGTTGTTTTTAAACACCGGTACTTACGAAAACCTAGAAATATCCTCATTGTCAACCTCTCAATCTGTGATATTCTTATGTGTACGTTTTGCATGCCCTTTTCATTAATCAAGCTCACATTGAAAAATTGGCATCTAGGGGATTTTTTATGCCGGGCTGTTCCAAGTCTGCAAAATGTTGATGTCCTAGTTTCGACATTTACCATTGTTGCCATAGCTATCGACAGATACCGTGCCATAGTAACTGTCTCTAGGGAAGAGGAATACCGTAACATGCTAAAATATATGATTGCTTTCATCTGGATAATAGCTATACTTTGTTGCATACCAATGATTGTCTTCCACAACGTCGAGGTGCCATGCATAATGGAATACGGCATTTATCAGATTTGTACAGAAGTGTGGCCTTCCCAAACCTATAAAAGTGTATATACGGTAGCCATTACATTCACCCAGTATGTATTGCCTCTAACAGTCGTAATTACATTACACACAAGGATATGTTATGTTTTACGCATGCGCATTCGCAGTGATCCAATAACGGAGACGGAATTAAAACGAGTTTTACGTGATATTAAACGTAATAAAAAGAATATGATGCTTCTGTCTGCTGTGGCTGTATCCTTTGCTTTGACGTGGCTTCCATGGACGATTCTCAACATGACCGCCGATTTTGATTATCGTTTCTTCGTCGACAAGAACTTCAACCTTATGTACGCTATATGTCTACTCGTAGCCATGACCTCATCCTGCATAAATCCAATCATGTATGGTTGGTTTAACAGTAACTTTCGACAGGCCTTTATCAGTGCTCTGCTGTTCTGGAAGAGGGAGATGAGCGAGTCCATGGAACTTATCACAATCAAATCGGACTCTAGGGAGAAAAGAGGATACGGAGGAAACGATACTACAAATAGCTAATTTCCGCTTTTTTGAAAACTGTCCTGTTCGAAATGATCGCTGACAATTCAGAAACCATGACGCCTACCTATCGTTAGATGACCAAATACTAGTAAATAAAAATCAGCTTTTCCTTGTTCTTTGATTTACAAATATCTAAATCCACGAATCCTCAATCAATATTGTTAATCATTGACATAGATTTTAAATATATTCTTGTATAATACTTTAAACCTTTTTATCCCTTTTTGAAATAAATGCATACTGAATAACACTATTTCTATTTAGTCTTGTTTGTGCAAACAATGTCGATTAATCAGTACCTCACGACTTAAATATAAGACAACGTATCATTGTGAAAGATTGTAAAAACAGCTGGAATGAATGGAATGATATAGCTGCAAATCGAAGCAGTAAATGGAGATTTTCGTAGTATTTACACCTAAAAGTACTATGGAGCAATAGAAAGGCACAGTGAATGTTTGTAAAAATTGCAACGAAAAAATTAAAACAAAAACGATAACTAATACTAGGTTGTCGTGTGCACATTTGAAAATGAAACTCGATTAATCATCTTCCAAAGATACTTATTCTGGTCCTGATTTGGCATAATTCATTGTATAAGCTCTCAACTGTCGCTACGGTCTTTGTCTTCTAAAAGCAACGCAAAAATGATTCTAGTTGATATGTACAACGAAATAATAGCGGGAGTGCACACAGCTAAAGTTGTCTTGATTTGCCAATTTTTTTTATGAAATAATTAAATTACGCACACATAAGGGGCATACAAAGTAAAGAACAATAATCACATAATTATTAAATACACGAACTGATCAATTTGATAAATTGTTTTACACATTCCGACGAACCAATTTCCGTAGTCACTGATTCAAATAAGCACTCGATAAATTTGAGTGGGGTGTTCATCTAAAACGGTCTTTGAGTGATCTCACCAACTAATGAGGCCATCTCATGCTACCGTAACTTTTGAGAAGTTGCAAATATCTACAACTCAAACATTTTCCGTTATTGAGAAATTTCCTCACCAGAAACACGAAGTATCAAAACTACCATAAATTGAACCCAAATTCAATAGATTTATATTGAACTATTTTATTATAATGATTATTATGAACCAAGAATAGATTTTGATAAAGATCATTGCAAAAGTGAAACGACAATAATACCAATAATATCCAGAAGTGTTTTCCGCTACTTCGACGACACATGCGAAAATGTAAGTCAAATCCAAGTAATGTCACATCAATATATCTTGAACTGGCTGTACATGTACATGTACCAACTAAACATCATGGCACGCCAATGAAAACAAGATGACATCTCACAGATCCTTTACTAGCCATCTAATCACACCATATCAATAGATGTTTGTAGGAAAATTTGGTCCAGTTACTTGTTTGTCTTTACTATGCTTTCTTTTAGTTGTGTCTCTCTAGACAGATCTGGTTTGCCTATGTCACAATCATGTTACTATGTACCAGGCTGGATGTCCTGTAATGTCCAGGTGAAAGCAATCATTGCTGTTGACACTGTCTTCATATGACATTTACTGTGAAGATTCTAAACCTACATTCGTCTAAGTTACGATCGTTAAGCCGAACGCTCTCTTGCAGTTTACGAAATGTATCGATAAACAAGACAAAACAAGTATTTAACGGGTGCAGAATTATTTTGTAATATTTGCAACAATTGTTTGCACGCAAATAGGTCGTATACAATAGAGAATAAATGTCTGTTACTATAGATAACAATTGTGTCGTAGTACCTTATTTGTGAGTAAAACATATGGTCATTATTTGTTTTTAAAAAATCACGTGCCTGGCTTTAGGCTATGGTCCAGAGACTTTAGTCAAGTCACTTATTTATTTGTTTTCACTCCCTGAAATCGGATGCGATAATGATAGTTATTCGTTATTAGATAGCTAATGCACACGAAGAACACATTAAAAGTAATAAAAAATAACAGAAAGCCTTAATTGCAAAGTCTCAGCTAGAATAATTCGTTATTAAAAAAAGAAAATGCACCTGTGTTTAACAGATTTGCAAGTTACATTAATTTTTAACATTTATTAGAACGTGCAGGAAATAAAAAAAATACCTGACATCTATCAAACATGGCTCCTACACTGACACAATCACAAAGCATTCCAGATATTCATGTTCCGATTCAGGCATTTTATTGATATTTATTGCCGATTTAAGCAGTTCAACAGTATGGTTGCATTAGTATTGCATTTCAATAAAACCACATTGATTGCACCGTCAGCGAGTGCCACATTCTGCACCGTTTGACAGGTTGTTTAGTTATTGTGATTTCGAGTGACAATGTTCAGGTTGTATTTTCATTACTTTTGACAAATTCATCCAAGAGATTACTGTGGCTATCAAGGTTATGGCGAAACTGGGAGACACGAAATCCACCAGAAGAGTTTACCACCTTGTATCTTGAAAGATGACCGTACGACTCACACGTGAGATTACAGCGTCATAATATGATAATAAATACAGTATGCCTAAAATCGGTGATGGTAGGGACCAAACAGTTGAAATCCAAACTGTTCTAAACTTCTTTTGAAACACGAGGTTATGTGCTACCACTAGACTACCGTGACTCGAACCCGCAACCTTTCGGTCACGAGCCCGGCGTCCTACCACTAGCCTACCGTGCCTCCTACACTGTAACCAAGGAAAGTGTAATAACAATGCTTATTTAAAAAAACTTACATTAGCAACAAACAGACAAAGCAACTTATAGCATGTTACACCAATTAGTATTACATATTTGTCATCTTGCCTTTGTCAAGTGTGTCGCAGTTGACAAAGACACGTTCTCCACTTATTTTCCGGTGAAATACAGGAATTCACCCTAGAGATAGTCAGCCTACACGCGTAATGACGTCATGCCGCAATGTTAACTATCTGCATTTAACACTTTTCTTATTCTATGTCCAGGGTTCATCACCCCTATGAACTTATCATAACTGTATTCATGAGCGCCTGTCATAGAATAAAAGCACATGAACAAGTGTAGAGTATTGATTCTGACATGCTATTTCGAGTATGAGAGAAAAGAATAAATCATAGGTGTGGTCTATGGACAGGAACATTCAAATCACAGTGCATGAGTTTAGCTTCCCAGCACGAGGCGTCGCCCTCATGTAAAAATTCTATCCAGCACTCGACTAAGCCTCATGCTGGGAAGCCAAACGCTTACCTGCGGATTGAGATTTCCCTGTCCAAAGACCACATCCATGCTTGATTCTGTTTCTCCCAAACTCAAAATAAACGTACAAGAATCAATACACTACACGGGTTGTTTCCCTGTCCATTGACCACACCCATGTAAGATTCTATAATTCCCAGCTTTACAGGTGTATTCCTGTTTTAATAAGGCCATCTCACAAACACTATTGTTATGAAACAGTCACCGCCGCGCGATCAGATTATGCACTGATTCGGGGTATTGTCATCAACTATCTCACACTTTGCGTTTGCCCATGATTGTTGCAAGGTGCATTAAGATCACCATTTAAGCTTACTTCTACACTAGGAAAGTGCGGGAAGAAAAGTCATCGATCACTCCTGTTTGATGTAGACAGAGAAATCTCAGGCCTCAGGGTAAGATTTTCGAAGTTCAGTACTCGGAAAAAGGTATGCGCTGAACGTTAAAAATGATCTTATCCACAGGAAGGGATTTCTCTGTCTACTTTATAAAGAGGTGATAACGTTTTTTCAATAAAAAGTGTTACAGAGGATGATGGTTCATGATGTATCATTTGTTTCTGTTTTCTCATCAAGCATTGAATCTACCTTACTGTTACATCAAATTATGCCCGAGTGTTGGCTCAGCCTAACGGCAATGTACTGGACAATTGACTGCATGCAGATTACCTACTTTCCTTCTCAATGGCAACATTACATTGTGTCCAACACTTTGTGACAATAAGGAAAATGTGTAGAGAGAAAATGTTGCAAAGCAGCTAACGATCAATTCAACCATTACAGTACCAACTGTATCAACCAATACGTTGGCATGGAATATACATTGAAATAAAACGTATTCCTAACATAGGTTAAATAGGTGTCGGGATGAGAATGGTCCTTGGTACCTTTAATGCATCATATTTGAAAGCAAACAAGCCAAAACAAAATTACAATTGCAAAGTTAAATGGAATTTGCGAAAATTACCTATCAAATAGATATTAAAATTGACGATGTATGGTGTCATATTTTGCAAATAACATCTAAACTCTAGAACTTTCAGAAAGAAAAAAAAATATGTTGACTTTGGTTTTAAATTACAGGGGATGAGTATGATAAAACCCAATCTCTCGAAAATTATCGTTAAAATGATGATCCATTTTCTAGCACATAATCATTGTGCTTATGAGTAAATACGGTTATACCGAATTTCCGGAACTTCACAAAACCGGCATATTCAAAGAAGTTTGGTCATTCAAGTGTTTTAAACGGTGTTTTGTGTTTGTTTGTTTTTTAAAACGGTTTGACATTATTATCAAAGTGCGGTACTGACCTAATTACAAGAACACAATCACGGATGTATACTATGCCAGTCCATACATAAAGGGATGATTGTTTTCAAAAATACAGAACATTGTGCGATGTTTTCACATTCTTGGTGTGTTTTAGGGTATAACGTATACATGTACTGTGCATACATTGCACTTTGAAACTTGTGATATACATGTACTTTAATGTTAATGTTACTTGTGGCAATGTATTTGCAAACGCGTTTTATCATGCTTATACAGCAGCTACAGCGACAACGAATAAAGCTGAGGTTTGTTGGTGAAATGGAAATGCGGCATCACGTGAAAATGTGAGAAAGCACATTAATATACGTTTTTCTCGACACTTTCGCACGTTCCTTCTATATCGTATCATGCATGTTGATTATTTCCTAATTAACATTGAGCTGAGAAAACTGACAACGAGGAATTTCCTTTGTTTGGAGGTCTGTGTCTTCAAAAGATGACATATCACGACGGATGCCATACACCAATTGTCTAATAACGTAAGCGTCATCACACCACCTAATAAAACTGTCAACCTTCGAACGGTAGTGTGAAAAATCATCCAGACGAACACAAAAATAATGCTTAGGAGAGACTTGTTCAGGTCACAAACGCTTGTTAAGAGCCTAAGGCGCATAGGCAGGTATACAAACTAC